CGACCAGCTGATCACTCGCCGCAGGTCTATACGTGGCGAGTGATTAGATAGCAGAGAGAGCGTAGTGTTGAAGAGGGCACAGCGATGAGAGTCGCATCAATGCGGGCAAGGAAGGGGTCCCATTTCTCGGGTTCTGGGCCGTTTCTCATGGTTCTTCCTTCTTTCGTGTACCACACCATCCCTAGTTAATTTGAAATGGGTTGCTTTTTCAGCGTGAATTCGTCCTTTAAACAAATCAGAGAAACATAGAACTAATCGGTGATGTTCTCATTATTCACAACGACTCGATTTAGTATGAAATCGTCGGGTGTAGAGTGAAAATGGTATCGAGCCCTTTTTCGAAGTCTTCATTATTCTCAATCTATACGCGTTAATATGGTTAGGAATCGAGGGGAAAATGTAGGGTCGTTTTGAGTAGGGTTCTACGAAAACGGAGAATTCTGGAAAACATCTTCCTCCTTAGCTTTTTTCTTTAGGTAGACCAAACAAACGCAAAATGCCGGAAGATGACTGCTTTTTGGACTTGTGAGCAACATATCGAGTACAGTTACAAGATTGAGGAGAATACAAACAACCTGCTGTAGAGCATTTGTGACAGATGTACGGCGGGAATTTGAACGCGTAACAGTCCGTCGGTTTTTTCGAATCGTTTGCAAAAACAGATAGAATTTTTTGTCTTTTTCGTTTTAATCGTATGTGATATGTTTCAAGCCAGTGATTTATTGATGAGACAGGATCATGATTTTTTTCGTTAACATTTCCTCTATTATCATTCGAAAGCCTCAACGGCTCCATATGGATTGCACATGTTGAGTCCACTGTAAACGACAGTCCCAATTTCATAAATTTCTTAGCAGCATTTCTTAGAAGCATTTTCTTCTCGACTATGGCATTAATATATGATTCACTGACTACTGGGAACCTCAGTTCTCCTCCAAATTTGACTAATTCTTTCATCGATGATGGTGGAAATCGCTTCTATGGCACCTAGGAGACCTATTTATGAAACTCTGAAGAAAGCTTCCAGGTGAGCTGCAGCTCCCTGGCAGGGTGGTTCCTTGTTACGCGCAGCCGTAAAACGCGCAGGAAGGGCTCGCTGACAGAAAACGGGACGCGGAGGGGCGAAATACAATGTGTTTGGAGAGACGCAGGTGACGCCCGTTACGCGCAGCAAAAAGTCCTTCGGAGGACTTTTTGGAGTTGGCCAACTTCAAACTGCCAGGTGCGTGGGTCAAAGCACGGTGTTGGAAAGGGAAAGGGAGGCACCTTGCATTGATTCGTCAGTGGTGTAGCGCCTGCGGTCTACGTTGGTGTTGGATCAGTCGCGGGATCAATACTACGAGATGTCTAAAGGTTTGCAACCTTCGCAGGCTATTCCCTTTTCTCTACAACCCTTTCACTGTCGATAAGAAGGGCTCCTTAGTGCAGTGGTAGCGATGTTGCACATGGGACGGTGCACCAAAGGTTCAAACCCATGTGCGACGCAAGCTTTGCAGGCAAAGTGGTGGATGCTCACCATTTCCATTATGGCAAACTTCCAATGGCTCAATGGGAACGTTCCACGCTGCCGCTGGCAAGGTTGCTGGATCAACACCGCTTGCAGTCTAAGATTTGCAAACAACATCCGTTGCTTACCTGTCATCAACATCTCTTCCAGTGGTGTGATCGAGTGATCCCTGGTGCAGTGGCAAAAACCCGGCTATGAGTCCTACCATCCAGGGTTCAAGTCCGAGAGTGGCGCAAGTTTTGCAGGTAGTGTGGCGAGGCTGGTGGTTTCAAGAAGGGTCATGTCCGTGTTTCCACGCTGCTTGTTCCTCGTCAATGGGGAAAAATCACCACATTTGATTGCTAGTCTGGGGTCCTTTGCTACCGTCCCAGAAAGTTCGAGTCCAAAAAGTCTCTAGACACGCAAGCCGTGATGGGAAGTAATAATATATCCAGTAGCGTCTTTCGTTAATACCAAACTCCGAAGGCGTGATGCCATTGCAACCTCGGTGATACCCCTGGCTTTGCTCGAAGGTATTATCCCAAAAATCATTATTCTACCTTACCTTAAACCAGAGACCTGAGACCTATCCTTTACGACAAGAACAAAAAGATCAAAAAATTGTGC